AAAACTTTTTCATAATGCTATTGCATGCTTAATAGACTACAAAACAAAACAAAAAACCCCGGCTGCCATCAAGTCAATACTGAGTCACAGAGACTGTATGGGCTTCTGAGCTTGCAAATATTCACAAGAGCAGACAGCTTCATCTTTTTCTCGAGGAGCAAATTGTGAGCTTGGACCACCAACCTTGGGTTGTGGTCAGCAGTCTCAACACTTCTCTGACAGTGCCACCAGGGCTCAAGTTTAGGATCAACATAACCCAGTGTGCATCGGGAGCCCTGGTGGCACAGTGGTTACTTGTTGGACCATGATCCTCAAGGCCAGCAGTAGCGAACGATGGATGGCCTTTCTATTCCCGAAAAGAGTTACTCTGGGAAACTCAGGGGGCCAGTTCTCTCCTGCCCTAAAGAGTCGTTGTGAGTCAGAATCAACTCCATGGTAGTGCATTTGGTTTGATTTGGGTTACTATGCATTGGGAAATCAGAATAAATTATTGAGATACCTTCTTTATTGTGCTTATCAGGAACCGAACCAATATTTCTTGAGGTATGCCTGTATACCAAATTCAAAGTAGGTCTTTGGCTTTTTTGTTTGCTAGTTGGACAAAAGATTTTTGGCTTAGCCTCACACATCTTTTTGTTGGTTTGTGGGATCCTGCCCCATAGTCAAACGGGTCTTTAGGAGGGATGTGTGCAATTAAAGAAAACAGAGTCGATTCTAACTAGGGGGGACCCCATGTGACTGTAGAACTGTTCCATAGGGTTTTCTTGGCTGTAATCTTTCTGGACCCAGATGACCAGACCTATCTCTAGGAGCTGCTAGATGGCTTCAAACTACCAGCCTTTCTTTGGCAGCCAAGTGCTTAATCGTTGCACCACCAGGCCTCCTTGACCCAGGGCTGTAGGCTACTTTTTGGAGAATTGAATGAGATTGTAGATGAAAATCACTGTACAACCTAATGTGCCCTGAAAAATGTGAGTTTGTTGCTTTGTTTTAAGTCCTGGTATTCTTTACAACTTTCAATCTCTCTAGCTGGGTCTTAGACCTGAGTGACAAATTCATAGAGCGAATTGTAGACTGTGGGCAGAAGGCCTCGGCCTCAGCTACCAGAAAAAGCTGACTAATCGACTGTTGGTGTCATTGATGCCCTTGCAGGAGAGAACACTGGCAGCTGCTGGGTAATTTGAAGACCACTGTTGAAGGGTTGGTGTCAACCAACAGCCCCAACGTCTGGTCCAAGTATGGTGGCCTGGAGCGGCTCTGCAGGGACATGCAGAACATCCTCTGTCATGGGCTCATTCATGACCAGGTATGCAGTGTAAGGGTTTTTGGGGCACGAAGCGGAATTAAAGGTCCAATTGGTAAAGTTTTAGAAGCAGGCTTTATTGAGAAGCTTGCGGACGGGTTCAATAACTCACGTATTGAGCTAATGAAACCGC